TTGCAAAATTAGGCTATCTAGGATCGATAATTATTCTTGTTTTAATTACCGATGAGATCTTAATTATAAGTTTCTTTATCTTGTTTTGTAAGTCTATCCATAACTTAGCTTCCATCTTTTTATGTATAATTTGAGAATCATATATTGATTGAACAACAGCATCTCATCAATTCTAATTATCTTTGGTTTCTATCTATTAGCTCATAATTATGACTTACTCTTAGAAACATTAACTCTCTTGCAGGTTTTGAGATCATATCATCACATTTGGGGAAACTCGAGAACCTGGACGTGAGCTATAATAATAGATTCAACGACAGCGTTTTATCACATCTGCGTGGGCTTTCTTCTCTCAAGTCTTTAGATTTATCAGGCAATATGTTGCTAAGATCGCCGCCGACAGTCAATGGTAAAGTTGTGAATATCTCTTGGCATCTTCTATTATTTACTTCATTTTTTAACAATAGATTTTGAAATCTCGGGATTTTTCAGGCAATTTGTTGTTTCTATCCAAAAATCATCTCCCTCTTCAATATCAGTTCTTTATCATAGGTTTAAAAACTCGATCAAGATAACACTTAATTTCACTACTTACTTGATTGCCTGTTCTCAATTCTACACGTCATAGGTTTAAGGAAGCTGGAGTTCCTGCAGTCATTGCCAATATCCCTGAAGACCCTTTCTCTCAAGGATACTAATTTAAGTCAAGGTTAATCATAGTTTAGTTTCTTAAAATCTTAATTAATAATATTGAATGGAATGGCCATTCTGTACCACCACTTTTTTCATCATATCTTTCTTCTTCTTCTTCTTCTTTTCACAGGGACTTTCTTCAATTCGAGCACCCTTGAAGAATTGCATCTAGATCGTACTCCTCTCCTAATAAACTTTCTCCAGAACATTGGAGCATTGCCTGCTCTTAAAGTTTTATCTGTTGCTGAATGTGACCTCCATGGCACCCTACCCGCTCAAGGTAAATTAACAACTCTCCATCCGCCTATAATTCATCAACAAAAGATTCTTTCAACATTTTTTTGACTGTTTCGAGATAAATTGTACAGGTTGGTGTGAATTGAAGAATTTGAAGCAGTTAGATCTCTCTGGAAATAATTTAGGAGGTTCACTCCCAGATTGTTTGGGGAACTTGTCATCTCTACAACTATTAGATGTTTCTAATAACCAGTTTACTGGAAATATTGCATTTGGTCCTCTTACCAACCTCATATCCCTTGAATTCCTCTCACTATCAAATAACCTCTTTGAAGTTCCCACTTCAATGAAGCCTTTTATGAACCACTCAAGCCTCAAGTTCTTCTCCAGTGAGAACAACAGACTAGTAACGGAACCTGCTGCCTTTGATAATTTGACTCCAAAGTTCCAACTACTCTTTTTCCGCTTGTCAAGTAGTCCAACATCGGAAGCACTCAATGTAGAAATTCCCGACTTCCTCTATTACCAATACGACTTAAGAGTCCTTGATCTCTCCCACAACAACATCACCGGAATGTTTCCATCGTGGTTGCTTAAGAACAATACACGAATGGAGCAACTATATCTGAGCGAGAACTCCTTTGTTGGTACTTTGCAGTTACAAGATCACCTTTATCCGAATATGACCGCATTAGATATATCCAACAACAACATGCACGGTCAAATTCCAAAAGATATTTGTTTGATCTTTCCAAATCTAGAAAACTTATGGATGGCTAAGAATGGATTCACAGGTTGTATTCCTTCATGTTTAGGAAATATTAGCTCTTTGGGAGTTTTAGATTTATCCAACAATCAATTGTCCACAGTAAAACTAGAACTGCTAACAACAACATGGTTTCTCAAGCTGTCAAACAACAATTTGAGTGGGCAAATACCAACCTCGTTGTTCAATTCTTCTACCTTGCAATTTCTCTACCTAAGTGGTAACAACTTTTGGGGTCAGATATCGGATTTTCCGTTAAATGCGTGGAACAATTGGGTTGTATTGGATTTGAGTCACAATCAATTTTTAGGCATGCTCCCAACGTGGTTCGTCAATTCTACGACCCTTGGTGCAATTGATTTGTCCAAAAATCATTTTATAGGTCCGATCCCAAGAGACTTTTGTAAGCTTGACCAGGTTGAATATTTGGACCTTTCTGAGAACAACTTGTCTGGATATATACCATCTTGTTTCAGTCCACCACCTCTAACCCATGTGCATCTATCCAAAAATAGATTGAGCGGTCCATTAACATATGGATTTTTTAACAGCTCTTACCTGGTTACGATGGATCTTAGAGACAACAGCTTCACCGGCTCTATTCCAAATTGGATTGGCAATCATTCATCATTGAGTGTTCTTCTTCTGAGGGCTAATCACTTTGATGGTGAGCTCCCTGTTCAGTTGTGCTTGTTAGAACAATTAAGCATTTTGGATGTTTCACAAAACCAGCTCTCTGGTCCACTACCCTCTTGTTTGGGCAATCTTACTTTCAAGAAAAGTTCCCATAAAGTGTTCGCGGGTTTGGTAGCTGCTTTTGGATCGAGTTCCCTAGAATGGTCCACGGAAAAAGCTTATTATGAAGCAATGGGTCCACTACTAGTGGATAGTATGAACAACTTGGGAAAGTATATTTTGCTTAACTTTACAGAAGAAGTGATAGAATTCACAACAAAAAATATGTATTATGGTTACACGGGGAAAGTTCTCAGCTACATGAATGGTATTGATCTCTCTAATAACAACTTCGTAGGAGCAATCCCACCAGAATTTGGAAACTTAAGTGAGATACTGTCGTTAAACTTATCACACAACAATCTCACTGGATCTATCCCTCCAATATTTTCAAACCTAAAGCAGATTGAGAGTTTGGATCTTTCTTACAACAACTTGAATGGTGTCATCCCTCCACAACTTATAGAGATTACCTCACTGGAAGTTTTTAGTGTGGCGCACAATAACTTGTCAGGCAGGACACCCGAAAGAAAATATCAATTTGGGACCTTCGATGCAAACTGTTACGAAGGAAATCCTTTCTTGTGTGGACCTCCATTGCGAAACAATTGTAGTGAGGAAGCAGTGCCATCACAGTCAGTGCCTAATGATAAACAAGGAGATGATAGTTTCCTAGACATGGAGTTTTTCTACATCAGTTTCGGTGTATGTTACACAATTGTGGTGATGACGATTGCAACCGTTCTCTACATCAATCCATATTGGCGACGAAGGTGGTTGTACTTCATCGAAGACTGCATAGATACATGCTACTATTTTGTGGTGGCTAGTTTTCGCAAGTTTTCAAACTTCAGGAGGTGAATTTGTTACTGGGAAGACGATCGTTTCTAGTTTGTGATGATTGTTTGTCTAGTTATTGGGTGCTTAATTTGTAGTGTACTGTCTGTACATCAAATATATAAGCTGGACTTCTCATTCCTGAACCATTAGGAAGGGAACTGATTTGGATTGGTCATTGTCTCGGGCGTGATTACTCTTTCAACTCTCAAGACTTGTCTGAGATTAAATTGCCAAAACCACTACTAAACAGAGAAATTAAATTGCCAAAACCACTACTAAACAGAAACAAAATATTCTATGCATGTGATCAACACTTACATTGCCTCTGTTTCAATGGCGACCCCACCGCAGTTATTCAATCAAAGCATTTAAATCGGAGCAAGAAGATCCACCTTCTTTGTTCTGCTCCTCATTTCCTCTGAAAATAATTTCAGTGATTGCCTTCTCTACAGCTTCACTTTCAACATGATCTCCAAAACCAACTCCAGTTTTTAAAACATCAGTCACCAATTTTTCATTATAGAATTGCTCAGCAAATATTGGCCTTATGCCTTCAAGAGTTGAGTTCCATCCTCAATGAGTCACAAATGCACCTATTGCTTCATGATCAAGAATCAAAACTTGGAGTGCCCATCGTCTGATAATTAGCCCTTTGCCTTCCATTCTTTCCTCAAATCCTTCAGGTAAACAATCTTCCTTGTCTTCTTGACTCTTTATGTTTCTTCTAACTAACCAGATAAACTGATGCCCAGAAGCTTCAAGACCTGCTGCAACCTCCTTAAGCTGAGAGGCAGTGAAGTTTGCCATGCTTCCAAAGCAAATATAAACAACTGAATTTGGTTTCTTTGAGTCGAGCCACTTCAAACACTCATGTTGAGAGCGATTGAGGCTTCTTTTCCTCTTCCTGATTTATCTTCAATGTCCCTATTACATAGTGAAACCGGGCCTACATTAAGTCACACCCTCTTTAATTGACCCAACAAGACTATATCCTAACCATACAGATTCCTCTTCTACAGATTCATGGATCACTTTATGCAAAGCAGAGGAATGATTCTCTGGAAAAAGAGTGTCTTGGGAACTAAAAATAGATTTTGTTGGAACTCTTGTCTCAGGACAGTAGCATAGCTTCTTGAATCTCTGTTTCTAATCGGAACAGGGGAGCAACGAGAAGCTTGGAGTGGTCGCAGATTGTCTTTCTTTTGCTCATGAGGCTGCCTGTCGAAACACTGAAGATTTGCCCGCAGCATGTAGGAATCAAACCAAAGCCCCTTTTAAGAAAATTTAATCTGCCTGTCAAAACGCTGAAGATTTGCCCTCATAAAAATCTGCCTTGTGTTTAAAAAAACACCTCCCGTCTGTTTCCTCAACATGTCAGGTCATGTTTGATGCCCCAGGCAAGGAAAAGGACAATTCTAGAAGAGATGATTCAACATGACAAGCTCAAATATTTTGGCTTGGATTTGTAGTAAGCTCAAATATTTTTGCTACAATATCATTCTCTCTCCCCCCTTTTCTTTTCTTAATATCCCTCATCCCGCATCATCATGATTGGTTATGACATAGAAACCCCAGATAAAGATGAAAAAGAACCATGCTGCAAGCTTGACATATTGTTCTGCTGCATTATTGGTACAGAACCTTGCACATTCAATGATTGCTACTGGAGATTCAGTTGATTTTCATGGCACTGCAATTGAGGAACTGTAGATTAGGAATTGGCCTCCTGAATCTGCTTGGGTTTATAGAACTTACAATCTGCTTCTCATAGGACCCAATTTCTCCTTGAAACTAGGTGTGATGTTGTTTTTAGAGACCTGTAAGAATGTTATCAAGCGCTCCAACATGGTCTTGAAAATCTCCAGCTTTTCAAGCTGTTCTGAATTCGGTTGATGCGGAAGAGAGTCAAGCTGGAAACCAATGTTAACATACACGAGAATTAAAAATTGCATCGATCCTTTGTAGCAAAACATTAATGAAAAAAAATGTTTCTATTCCAATTCTTCTGTGTTGATGCATGGTTGTGGGAGCGGTTGGGGGGAGGTGTAGGTGATTAGTGCAGATGATACAGTGACAGGCAATGCTGATGAGGAAAACAAATTAATACAAAAGCTCAACATGAGGAAATTGCAGATAATCATGCATGGGCAGATAATTTGGAAGAAATTGCAGAGACAATTTACCTGCTGTAACCTGGCAGCAATTCTCTGGTGCATTTCATTTATTTCAGGGAAATAAGTCTCCTTTATAACTTTGATCTAGGAAGTACAAATAACCAGCAAAACATTATCAGCCATATTCTTGATTTCTTCAGGTGCCAGTCAGAAAGAAAGTAACACAGACAAACTTAAGGGAATTGATAAAAAAGGGGGGCGGGGACAGCATAAATTAGTTGAGATAAAAATAGCATGACCCCTGTTCATGCTGGAAACTCAAGAGGATGTCGATATTGATGGAATGAAAAGATGCAAAGGGCTGTGTAAGTACACCTTTAGACAAGATTCAGGTGTTGGTTACGTTCAGTTACTTTGTCTCTCTGCAAACTACTCATCATTGTATTCTGCTGTTCTAGCTCAAGTCGATGCATGTCACAACTTTAGCAACGCTTCTTAGCCTTAGATCCTAAGCATGAGCATTCTTATTCCCGTTTCAATACTCTCCTAAGCGCACAAAAAAAAAATGTCCTTAGCAAATATGCAGTTATGACGTGAGACATTCAGAATTTCAACCTCATTTTCTATAAAATTCAGTGGAATAAGTCCCACTTAATTTCTTTTTCTTCCATTGTCACATGTTTCAGAAGAAGTTGATTGCAATCGTGCAATTAACTCTTCACTTAACCAAAGATAAACTGTAAGCCATTCAGAAATAGTGCACTCTTATTTTTAAGTCTGTCTAATGCAGTAAGAAGTACTGACAATAGGACTCGTTGGAAATAAATAATAAAATAATAATTCACCACACAACACATATAGGGGAAAAAATAGAAAGGGAGAGGTTTGCAATAAAAAACTGGCGTGCCAGAACCAAGAAAGCAATCCTCTTGACCTAGAAATCTGAATACTTTTACCTTCATTCATCTTATCAATGATTAATCATTTCTTAGTTGCTGCAATCATGGAACTTCCAATGCTTCCTAACTAATCCCAACCATAGCTGAATAAAATTACTTGGACCAATCCCAGGAGACCTTTTTCCATTGAAATCTTGCAAGACTATGGCATACATGAACTCCATCTAATGAACAGTAAATCACAGAAATTACCTTCTCATAGATCTCCTCTTGCCAATCAGCGCCTTTTGCATGTCCAGTCTGTGCTGTATAATCTAGGGATGCTACAAAAATTTCAATGCGGACAACAAAATATTAGAATTCATGTATTTTTCTGTGTTTTCCATATACAAGGGTATTTCTGCAATTTTAATGCTTGCTGAAAATTATGAAATATTGCGAGTCTCAGTTTTATTTTCCATTTAGTATTTAATTATTCCCAAAGTATAGCAAGCTTCATTAGGTTTTTCCTATTCTAGATAGGACTATTAGTATTTTCCTATATAGGAATACGAGTCCTTTTTGTATTAAGAACTTCATCTAAATGTTATGTAATCATATAAATGCAGAATGAGAGGGCGAACAGCTGGTGCAATGCAATGGAGGGTATGATGTGGTAACAAATGCGTGTGTGATTGCAATGGTTTCAATAGCAGTGGCACTACTAATGCCACAAGTGGCAGCAGTGGCACATAAAGCTAGCAAAAGAGCATTGCTGACTTGAACCATTATGAGAGGTGAACAGTTGGTGCACTGCACTGTAGGGCATCGTGTGGTCACAAATGCATGTGTGATTGCAATAGTTCCAATAGCAGTGGCATTTCTAATGCCATAAGGGGAAGCAGTGGCACATAAAGCTACCAAAAAGAGCAGAACCTGGCATTTGTCTCTGAGAATTGGCAAACATAGTGTAGTGAATCCCTTGTCCCATTGAATTCCCCCACTGAGTTCTGTGAAACACCAGGGATACTCGGCATGTTAGGATTCTGGACAACAGTGTTGGGGATAGTCAGGGTTACACCAGAGACAGGAGGCAGTGCTGCTTGTAAACCAGCATAACTTTGAACTCCATTAGATGCCATGCAATTCTGCATGTTCTGTGATACCAACTGCTGACATGCTTGAGACTGATCAGTGGACAATAGGATAGGGAGAAACAGCCCTTGATTCTGAACTTCAGGGGGCATACTATGGGATGTTGTTCAAGATAAAAGGCAAAAGGGAAAACCATGTCACAGAAAAAAAGAAGGCACTGAACAAGGAAGACAAATGAAACATATGCAGTTCACACATAAAGTTATGAGCGAAAAAATTGGGATGGATTTGATTCAAAGCATATAAATGTCCTCTGACAATTTTCAGGGATGGGGGGAGAAGAGGCGGCTGAAAACAAAAATAATATGACAATTTTCAAGGTGGAGGAAAGAAAAGGAGGAGGCAGAAAACAAAAACAATCTGTAATATTCTTGCCTAACATTCATCAATTACTCAACTTTTTTATTAAAGCATGCTAAACACATAGCAATATGCCGCAATAAAATGTAAAAAAGTTTGATAACAATGCGACAAACAAAACAAAAGGGAAGATGTTTACAAATTCAATGCTCGGCTGCATTATAACCTGCTGGATCCATGGGGGCAGTGGGCATGGCATTTTGAGACCTGATCTCCATTGAAAGCATCTCCAGAGATATTTTCCGCAGATAATCAGATATCAATAACAAAACATTAGATCTCAGAGCAATCCATGTTACAAGAGGAGGAAAATGGATATATGCTCTATCATTTCATCTTTTGTGAGGATATACTTCTGTTTCCTCTCTTTTTATTTAATTATTTATGTATTGATTCACTATTTTATTTTTGCACACTTCCCTTGTCCTTGAACTTGGTCACTCTAGATAAAACACTTGTCAAGAGAATTAACAAAAACATGCGTACTCCCAATCAGCCTTGCATACAGAATGAACGGTGAGGAAGTGTAGGCACACTACACACACATTTGTACATGCATAAATGCATGTGTATATTCATGTCAAGAGAATATCATAATTATTGAACCCTGATTCGTGGCGGTAATATAAATCTTTTCCTCAAAACGTATGGAAAATTTCTTGAGTTCTTGTAATCCCTCCTGACCAGAAAACAGAAGATGCCTCTTTAATGTCTCCATTCTGCACATGCAAATCATAGCAGCAGCAAGCAAGAACCCTGAACTCATAAACCACACCAATATCAGAAATGTGTGGAATCATTAGCAAAAAGTAAAAACAAATAATAAGATAAGCAAGAGTTGGTCAATTATGATAAGATATCAAAATACATAGACATCCTTTCCCTGTATTATTCCAGAGGTACAGATTATATGAATTTACTTGGCCACCCTTCTATCTAAAAATTCTAGCTACGAGCTTCATATATTAGTGACTTAGTTGCAAAGCAGGGGAGTCTGTGAAAACATTACAATAGCATTTACTCTGAGTAACTTCTACAGAAGTGCTGTAATTGACAAAGAAAAGAAGAGAAATCTTTTCAATATATGAAAACGCAACGAGTTAACCTTATCTCACACTGCAATATATACTCTACAGTATTCATTGACCAATGCAAGTGCCAGAAGTAGCTGTCTATATGATTTTGGATGTAGAGAGGTCAACAAAACATTCAACTTTATGCTGAGAAACTAGGAAACCATGCACCATTGTGGCTAATTGATTTTTGTCTGCTGCTTTTCAACTTTAAGATCACCATCATTTCAACCCTTTAGAAGTTAAAACAAATAGAAGGCCCAAATCCAACACCATTCATTTAAGTTCAATAGCAACTCGAGTTTTAAATTGAAACACGTATGCTCATAGCAATAGATTAACCTTGAAATTAAAAGTGGAACAAGCTTCATGCAGCCATCCAAGAGGTCATCATCAAAAGAAGAGATTACACAAGAAATTCCAACAAAAATTACTTCCCAGCACTTTATGTTCCCTCAAGTTTGCTTCTCGTGAGAAACACATGAAAAGATGAAACAAAAAAAAAAAAAGAGGAGTGTGATACTTGAGGTTGCGTTATGGCAATCCTGCTGATTTTAATTAACCCTTTGTCATTCTCCTTTTCTTTCATATAAATAAAAAATTTACTATTTTGCAGCACTTGCACATACATTTTGTCGACTATTCTTTTCCGTGAGTCAGGCCGCAATTGAATTCTCCAATCACCCGTGTCCATGACAGGTTCTCCGCAGTGGGCCAACCAAAAAGAAAGAAAAAAATCATATTGCATGTTAGAATAGACCCTAAAAAGAAAGTCAGGAACGGCAAGAAGAGCAAAAGCACATCAAGAACATGAAAAATGGAATATCAGTTTATTCGGACTAGAATAGATTTAAAAAGAACTTCCGTCTAATATCATGTACTTTATTAAAGAATTCAGCCACATATGGATGCATACCAAATTTACACAACCATTCAGGCCAAGGTGCTAGGATCCTGGGTATTCGGCCATTCAAAGCAAAGAATCTTCATGGTGCTTCTAAACCATAGAAGCATTGCCTTCTAAGCAAATACTTACTGTCAAACCCCACTCCCCTTCCCCTCCTGTTCTTGTTAAATATTGTAGGGAGCAAATAGTGTAAAAAGAAAGAGGAAAATACCACATCCCCAAAAGAATAAAGAAAAAAGAAGAAGACAAAACAAAGTCGTAAAACGAGGCTTTTCAATCCCCAATGAATATCAGCAGACTAAATACCACAGCACAAATAGAAGAAGAAGAGGCCAGAAACACTAACCCATCCCAAAGAGTTTGTCTATGATGTTTTAATCTAGGAAAAAGAAGAAGAAAACAACGAGCATTAACAATGAATATTTCATGTTATCATCAACTCTAAAGAGCAGACTGATAAGAATCAACTTAACAAATTTACAGGCACATCTTTCTTTGAACAGACAACGCAATAACCCTGACCATACTAAATGTCGGCGGCGGTTTCCGAGAGCGGAGGAGGGAAAGTGAGAGAGCTCATGTGGGGCGAGGTGACGAATGTCGGACCACAGTGAACAGAGCTTGACAGATGACTTTATTCTTTTCCAGATTCACAAACAAACTATATAAAAAATTGTATTCTTGTTCATAACTAACAAACTAAAACTAAAACTAAAAGAATTATAATTATATAGCTTTTTTTTATATAAAATTAAACAGAGGTTTGAATATATATGATATAGAAAACTAATTAGAAATCATCAATCATAATAATTTTGATATACTTGTTAACACAGTAATCTTTGTGGTCTGAATGACAAACCCAATTCCTAAACATTCTTCATGCGGGGAAAAAACCAGAATTAATTTGAGAAACTTATTTTGTTTGTAAAAAGCAAAGACATATTTGTAAGGACTGTTGTCACGTTAAAGGAAAAAAATGCACAAAGCAATATCATTGAGAATGTTAACGAGAAAGCTACTACGTTTGTTGTAGTTAGGTCAAAAGTAAACTTTGTGCATAATCCTAAAAAGTAGTGAATTGATATTGGAGCCACCTGTTGTGATATAATATTTTTTTTAGTATGCAATAATGGCTAAAGAACAACAATTATTTTTTGATAAATGATTATTTAAGAATATAATAGCATTTGTGTTTTATAATGTTTTTTTATTTTAAAACATATCAAAATAATATATTTTAATTTATTTTTCATATTTAAATATCAAAATAATTTAAGAGCAAAGAAAAAAATGAAGCAAGAATAAATTTTTAAAAATTAGCAAAATAACGATTCAACCACAAAATCAAAATAAACCCTTAGCATGCAAAATCCTAAGCCATATGAAATTGTCACTTATAAACAATATGGTTCATGCTTTTAATATTCAAAAGAATATTTTTTGTGGCTCATTGTAAAGCAATAATGAGTTTAGATTAATTTATTAGTCCCTTGAATAATATGATGGACTATCACACGTTGACATGTGCTACTCATATAATAGTTTTTATTGATTTATTAATATTTTAAATTACTAAATAGCTATAAAAGCACCTAAATATTAAAAAAAACTATATTGCAAAGATGAAAATGTTATCCAAAGCCAGCTTTAGATTTATTTTATTTTAAAATTAACTTTATCCCCATTAGCAAAACAATTATTTTGTGTATAGAAAAGAAAAAAGTAAATATATTATGATAATGCATAGTGTTTTACCTTAGAATTTATAATGAATCACTTGAATCACTTATCTTTTTTAGTTTTTATTTTATTTTTATAATTCCATTTTATTTTTAGTTCATGTTTAGATTTTTAGCATATATTCTCAAACCAAATCTCTCATCTTTTGTACATAGGTATTTTAAAAAAAACTTTTTCTCACAATCTAACAATGTCGAAACTTTTTAAAAATAAAAATAAAAATAACCTCTAATATAGATTATTTATCTAGTTAGATACTATACTGATGTTTTATTTTTATATAAATAGTAAAACACTTTAATTTTTTTAAATTAGTTTTTTTTTCCTTTTTGATTTGGTTTTGTTTTCTTTTTCTTTTCTTTTTTACAATTTAGTCCTCCTTTATTTAATTATTTTTTGGCCTACTTATATGAGATAAAGTTTCTAATTTAATTAGAAATAAACTACTATACTAAAAAATTTCTGCTTCTCTACCTCCTTCACTCTTTATATATATGTATGTATTTTAAACGGATCCTTATATATTTTTCGCTTCTTGATTTGGTGTTTTTTCTTTTTTTTTCTTTTCATTTTTTCACAAATCAGTCTTTAGGCATTTTCTTTCCTTTTTTATTAAACTTTTTTTGGTCTAATTGTATAAGACAAAGATCTTAATTTAATTAAAAATTATTTATTATACTAAAAAAAAAGTTACGGTTGCCTCCTACTTTACTATTCATATCCTCCCCCTTAAAAAAAATAAATAAATTCTTTCTAATTTTTTTTTCTTTTGATTGAATGATTTTTGCTATTTTTTTTCTTCCAATTTTATTTTTCATATTCTTAAACAAACATCACTAAATTTGTTTAGTGTTTAATTTTATAAGTATCTAAATTTGTTCAGTGTTTAATTTTATAAGTTATCGTATCATTATATAAAAAATAGTGTTTAAATCTAATGGAGTTCATGGTCTGAGTTGTGCATTTAACAAGTTAAGATGTGAAGCTCGAATTGATCTAATATATTTTCATCTTAATAGTAAAAAAAAAATGTCATTTTGATTTTTTTCCTTCAAAATCCAAACCTTGCTTTTAGTGGTCATTTAGGTTGCCTTAATTTGCACATGTTAAGTCAACTAAGTTATGTACAGACAACTTCCTTGTAAATTAATTTTAAACCTATGTCAGGCAAGAAGTTGAATTAAGAGGTTTCAAAGTCATCCACTTGATTAAGTTTAATAACAATGTTATATTGTTACTTTGTTTTTAAACTCTACCTTCCAATTTTTTCCTTCTTTAAATTGAATTCTCTTTGGCTTTTTTCTAGTTTCATCCTTTAATATTTGATTGATTTTGAATTGGTCTTGTTTCAATTTGCTTTCTATGATATTTATTATTGCAATCTCAAACAAATATCCTGATATTTGGTTCATGCTTAATTTTACGAGCATCTATTTTTATTATAATATCATTAAGTAAAAAATAATTTTTTTAAAAAGTTTTTAAACCAAAAGGAGTCTATTATTCAAGTAGTGGGTTTGGAGAGTTAGTGTCAATCTAATATATCATCATATCAATGTTACAAAAAAGATGTTATCTTGAAATTTTTTAAAGCCAAATTTTTTTACCGGTCATATAAATTGATTTTGAACCAACTACATCGATTGAGTCATGTTAAAAGAACTTTTACTTTGGTTAATTATAAATTTAATATAAGTAAAGAGTTGGATAAAAGGAATTTAAGATTAATTTACTAGATTGAGTTTAATCATGATGACAAATGCTAAATAGTTACTTAAGCATATATGATTTTTTTCGGTTGTTGTGGAAAATCTTCTATGTTCTATAGCCCAACATTTTGTTATAGTTGTTGTTGACGTGGACAAAAGTGCATTTATTTTCTTTTAACTCTTTAAACAATTCTTTTAGTTTTTTTTTAATGTTTAATTTCTTGGTATTGAACAAACCCCACTTGTAGAGAGCCTTATATAGATTCATGAATTTTTATGTTTTTTTCTCCTTTGGTATCAACTTCTTTTACTATTAGTTAATGGATATTCTACCTTTTCTTCGTTTTTAATATTCTTGTTTGGCTCCCTTTTATATTCTTTTTATAGATTTTTTGCTTGACTTAATATTCAATAAGTATGTTAATTAAGTATGCATCCAGTTTGCAAAAATAGATACATACATTACTTTTATTAATTAATAAGATTGATTACATTAATTCTTGAACTTGTTTTATTTAAATAAATATATAGAATTATGATAATTCATAATTTGATGATTAGATAATATTCTTATAATAAGAATACAAGACGCATGTATATATTGAGTTCAGTTCAATGTTTTTGAAAAGGAAATTTTTTTATTGATTAATGTATAAGTGTATAAATTTTTTTACTAAATAATATCTTGATTAATTAATAAATTTCATGGCCTCAATGATATTAATTTATAGATGATTAACTGTATATTGTATTAATCTTTTAATAAATATATAAATTTTACATGATAAAATTAAAAACACTTAACTCCATATAAGAAAAATATTTATTTTTTTAAACGACAATACAAAATATATAATAATACTAATATGCAAATTCAAATCTATCTCTAATTAAGCATATGCCATTGCGTCAACAATTGCTTACTAGGGACATCATTAGCTTCTTAGCTTCCATTGGTTTAGCCATGCATTGCCTCCTCCATTTCTCAATCGAGTGTTTTTAACATTCCATGTTAATTTTATTTCTAGATGAAGCTCTCAAATGTATTCTTGGAATCAACAACTTAGGTTACAATTACATGAACATCGCCCTTTTTTTCTCACACATACATATTAAAGAACTCTGGCATGCTTAACTTTCTTACTATGGCTTTGTCTAAAATATGATGATTGATCTTTCGTTTAAGAGTTACTTTTCATGCCATTGTTCATTCTTCTCCCTTTCAATTTGCTTAGCATTTGTTGTTTCCCTTTCAATTCTTCTACTTTTTATGATTCTGAAAAGAAAATTTTTCACCAGCTACTTTAAATCTTATGTTCAAAAGACATTGGTTCAACTGTTACTTTTAACCTGGAGTTCATAAGGAAGCAATGAGAAACTAGATTTGTCTTTCCATCTTCTATCAACAATTTGAGTGGCTTGCACATTGGTTGCTTATGCTTATTGATGATAACTTCTATTGTCTTTTTTATTTTCGATTGTAATTCACAACAATAGATTGAGTCTGATTATCTTGATATGGAATTGACATGAAAGAAAAAAACACAAAGAAACTTACATTCTCTACTTTTGATGGCTTGAGCATTGTTCGCTTGAACAACAGATTAGGTCTGATTATCTTGGTCTGGAATTGACAAGAAAAAAAAAACAGAAACTTGCATTGTCTTCTTTAGATGGCTTGAACATTGCTTGCTAGATGTTCATTAATTTCTCTTTTTGCAATGAACTCTTGCATATTTGACAGATCATGCTACTTTTTTAACGCTATTATTGTTCTCTTTTGAATTGCCAAAATGATTGGTTGGATAATAGCCACTGTGATTAGAGAAACTGAAATAATTTATAGTATGCAAGTCTGTAAATTCATTACAGCAGTCATGTTTTTATCTAAACATTGCCAAGAGTCAAGACCAAAGTTAAATCAATAACAAAAAGATGAAAAAAAAACCTAATATAAAAGTGACAAAATTCATAAAACTCAAACATAAATAATTTAATGCCAAATGATAAGATTATAAAAATTGGTTAACTTAACTTATCCGCGACCTGAGATATGAGATAGAAATAACCTTACAAAAAACAAACCAAAACAAATAACAAAGCTTAAGGTCCAATAACTCAAGGTTGATGATAAAAAAATTAACTTTTAAAAATAACTTAAAAAAATACCAAACTTAAAATGAGTTGATATTCAAAATTGGTAGAGTGAATTATGAGACAAGGATTACCTTGTAGATGACAGACAACAAAAGATAATGAAGCAAAATTCTCCATCATAAAAAAATAAAAATCCAAACAATAAGGACAAATTCTTTTATGGAAAATCATTGAAAGAAAATAGTGAGGGATTAAATGGAAAAACAAACTAAATTAACAAAATGATAAACAATTGAAATTTTAAAGGCTTGGTATGAATATTAAAGTCCAAAAAAGAGAGGGAGGAGAAAAAACCTCTATCACCATCGAACCACTACAAAAATGACAACATGTCATGCTATCAACTACACTTTCACATTACACATTGGACTATTACACGCCTCTTGAATGATATGGTAGACTGTTACACACTAACACGTGTTACGTACATGACAACCTTTTTTATTGATTTATTAATACTTCAATACTTTAAATTAGTAAATAGCTTCTAAGGGCATCTAAATATTACAAAAAAAGCTATGTTGCAAAGATGAAAACACTGTCCCATTTCAACTTTAGATTTTTTTTTATTCTAAGCTTAACTTTTTCATTGTAAAGTATACAAAACATGGAAAAAAACTAAGAAATGCCTCATGTCAAAGTCAATATTTTTGAACTCTCAAGGGTATTGACATTATTTATCTGTGCAAATAAAATAGAAAAGACAAAATGAACCTTAAGCAAAGGTAAATTGTTTTTTTTTTTGCTTACAAGGGCAATGATGTAGTTTTAATATGAAAAAAAAGAGTAAACCTACTAAATTATCCCCAATTAATTTACAAATAACCTTTAAATCTATTGGAAAAGACAACTTTACCCTTACCTTGTTAGCAAGGTAATTGTTTTGCGTAGAGAAGGTCAAAAAGTAGATATATTATGCTAATCCATTGTGTTTTACCTTATAGTCTATAATGAATAAGTGATCTCTTTTAGGTTTTTATTTTTCATTTTTTTTAATTCCACTTTGTTTTAGTTTATGTTTAGATTTTTAACATGCATTCTCAAACCAAATATCTCCTCTCTTGTAAGCATATATGTTTTTTTTTTTAAATATTTTCTCACATATGAAAATGTCAAATCATTTTTTTTTTGCTTTAAAAAAATTAGGATAGCCTTTAGTGTAGGTCACCTGTCTAGTTGGATACTATAGTGTAGTTTCATTTTTATATGAATAGTGTAGTACTTTATTTTTTTTAATTAGTTTTTTTTTCTTTTTTGATTTGATTCTGTTTTTTGTTTTTACACATTAGTCCTTATTTTTTGTTTAATTTTTTTGGCCTAATTACATGAGATAAAGTTTTCAATTTAATTAGAAATAAACTACTATACTAAAAAAAAAGATTATACTTCTCTACTTCCTTCACTCTTTATATTTTTTTTTGTTTTTTTAAAATTCATCTTTATATTTTTTTTCTTCTTGATTTGATGTTTTTTTCATTTTTTTTCCTTTTACTTTTTTACAAATCGGTCTTTAGAAATTTTCTTCCCTTTTTTATTTAACTCTTTTTAGGTCTAATTGTATGAGATAAAGATTTAAATTTAATTAAAAATTATTTATTATACTAAAAAAGTTAGGTTTTCCCTCCTACTTCGCTATTCATATCTTTCCCTTTTTAAAAAAAAATTCTATCTTCTAATTTTTTTTTGATTGAATGATTTTTGCTCTTTTTTTCCTTTCAATTTCACTTTAATATTTTGTTGATTTTAAATTGATTATCATAGTTATTTTTTAATTTCTTTATATGTGGTTATCATAGTCTAAAACAAATATCATGAAATTTGTTAAGATCTCAATTTTGATAAGTGTCTATTTTAATTATTGTATCATTATATAAAAAATAATTTTTAAGCCTAGTGAAGTTTATGATATGGGCTGCATATTTGATGAGTTAAACCACAAAGCTGGAGTTGATTTAGTATATCATTATTTTAATATTTAAAAAAATTATCATCTTAATTGTTTTTTTTAATCCAAATCATGCTTTTATTAGTCATTTGAGCTGCTTTAATTTGTATATGTTAAGTTAACTAGGTCATGTATAAACAACTCTTTTATGAATTAATTTTAAACCTATATAAGGCAAGAAATCAAGTTAATTTAAGAGATTAAGATCAACTTTAATAACAATATCATTATTCCTTTGGTTTTAGACCCTACCTTCTATTTTTTTTTCTTTTTTTCAATTGAATCCTTTTAGACTCTTCTCTAGTTTTATCTTTTAAAAGACCACATTGCAGTTCATTTTCTATAATTTTATTTCAATCTCAAATAAATATACTAATATTTAATTAATACTTAATTTTACGAGCAACTATTTTTATTATTATATTATTAAGTAAAAAATAATTAAAAACATAAACCGAATGGAATACATTATTCATGTCGTGGTTTTGAAGAATTAAACTATAAAATCTGGATTGATATAATATATTATCATAATATTAAAAAAAATTAAAATCAAATTGTGTTTATTTACCGGTCAGATAAATTAACATTGAACTCATCATAATAACTATACCATATTAGAAGAAGAACTTTCATGGTGATATGGATAAGAAGTCAAGTTGAGAGGAATTTCCGATTAATCCACTACTTTTTTTATGTTGCGCAAAACATAAACCAGTTCCTTCCTAAATATTTACAAGTAAACACTAGTGTCTGTTTTTGGTGTAACAAACAAATTAATCCCTCAAGTTTTTTAAATAATTAATTGAGTTTTTAATCATATTTTACCGTCAGGTTAGTGGAACAAATTGAGGAAATATTGCTGACAGCTCGACATTTGACCGACGAAAAACTAATGAAGGGACCAGATTATTGCATAATGTAAAAGTACAGGGAAAAGATTTAACAGATCTAGTTATCACCAACAAAAAAAAACACTATTTCACTGCTCAGTGTCTCACTGTAGTAATGGCACTTTATAATTCCAGGGATGATCAGTTTTCGCTTTGGGAATGGCCATCCGCAGATATTCCTGCATTACATGTTTTGATTAAAGCATGGTATATACATAGCAATATAAAACAAAAGGTAAGGATGTTTAGAAATTCAATGCTTGGCTGCATTACCGTTGCCAGTGGGTATGGTATTTTGAGACCTGGTCTCCATTGCAAGCATCTTCAGAGATGTTTTACGCAGATAATCAGACTGAAATTAGATTTCAATAACAAAACATTAGATCTCTGAGCAGTCCATGTTACAAGAGAAGGGGGAAGAGGGATAGATGCTCTTACTAATATGCTAGGCTTTCTGTATTTGCATTGTCTGTGAGGATATACTGTAAACTATGAAGAGAGAATAGAATTTGCTGGAATGAATTGTATTATTGATCATATCATATATTTATACAAGTGCATTACAGTCATTCCCATAGATTAGGAATCAATTACGACCACCTTACATTTATCATCCTATAGACTTAGTTTTGCACTAGGAAAGCCAATGTATTCAGATTATCCCTTCCTAATATATAGCTTACGAGATTCCCAACATATACTTCTGTGTCCCCTCTTTTTATTTAATTATTTATGTTTGCATTTTGCACACTTCTCTTCTTGAAAAGGACCTTGGTCACTCTAAATAAAATACTTGTAAAGAGAACTGACAAAAAGATGTGAACTTCTACAGAATGACCAATGAGGAAGTGTGGACACACTACACACACGTGTACATGCATAAATCCACACTTATGCATGTGTATATTCATGTCTATAGAATATCAAAATTATTGAACCTAGCATTAGCCGAATACCTGATTGGTGGAGGCAGTATAAATCTTTTCCTCAAACCGTACAGCAATTTTCTTGAGTTCTTGTAATCCCTCTTGACCAGAAAATTGAAGATGCCTCCTTAATATCTCTATTCTGCACATGTAAGACATTACATTTAATTTTTAACGATAAGGCAGGTATAGAGAAGTTAGCAGCAGTGAGAAAGAACTGTGAACTCATACACCACACCAATATCAGAAATACATACAACGGAATCATTGGCAAAAAGTAAAAACAAATAATGATATAGCCAAGTGTCGCAAGCTGGCCCGGACACCCACGTTAATCTAAAAAAAAAAAAAAAAACATATATATATATATATATGGCATCAGAATACATACATCTATTTTTACTTCCTTTCCCCGTGTTATTGCAGAGGTACAGGGTATATGAGTTCACTTGGCCACCCTTCTGTCTAAAATTCTAGTTATGAGCTTCATGGTTAATTTTCTTTAACTGGATTATGGCTATGCTCCAAGATATACAAGTGAATTAATTGCAAACCAGGGGAACTCTGTGAAAACATTACAATAACATTTACTCTGAGCAAGAAAACTTTTATACATGCACTACAATTGACAAAGAAAAGAAGAGAAATCCCTTTAATTTATGAAAATGCAATGAGATAACCTTATCTCACGCTGCAATATATACACTACAGTGTTCATTGGCTCATTGGCTACTGCAAGTGCCAGCAGTAGCTGTCTATATGATTTTGAATGTAGAGAGGTCAACAAAACATTCAACTTTATGCTGAGAAACTAGGAAACCATGCACCATTGTGGCTAATTGATTTTTGTCTGCTGCTTTTCAACTTTAAGATCACCATCATTTCAACCCTTTAGAAGTTAAAACAAATAGAAGGCCCAAATCCAACACCATTCATTTAAGTTCATTTGCAACTCGAGTTTTAAATTGAAACATGCATGCTCATAGCAATAGATTAACCATGAAATTTAAAGCAGAACAAGCTTCATGCAGCCATCCAAGAGGTCATCACTGAAAGAAGAGATTACACAAGAAGTTCCAACAAAAATTACCTCCCAGCACTTTATGTTCCCTCAAGTTTGCTTCTTGTGAGACACAAATTAAAAGATGAAAAACAAAAAAAAAGAGGTGTGTGATACTTGAGGTTGCCTCATGGCAGTCCAGCTAATTTTAATTAACCTTTTGCACTTCTACTTTTCTTTCATATAAATAAAAAATTTACTATTTTGCAGCACTTGCACATATTAGGAAACACATACTTACATTTTGTCGATTATTCTTTTCCGTGAGTCAGGCTGCAATTGAATTCTCCAATAACCCATGTCAATGACAGGTTCTCCGCCTGGGATAGTGGGCCTCCAATTATTGGCATCCATGGGGTTTTGGCCAACCAAAAAGTTCCAACCAAAGATGTTACACAAGAAGTTACAACAAAAATTACTTCCAGCACTTTTTATTCCCTCTAGTTCACTTCTTGTGAGAAACAAGTGAAAAATGAAAAAGACAAAAACAGAGGTGTATGATACTTGAGGTTGCCTCATGGCAGTCCTCCTGATTTTAATTAGCCTTTTGCCCTTCTCTTTTTCATTCATTTAAATACAAGATATACTATTTTGCAGCACTTGCACATATTAGCAAACAGATGATGCTTACATTTTGTTGACTATTCTTTCCCGTGAGTCAGGCTGCAATTGAGTTCTCCAATCACCTGTGTCCATCACAGGTTCTCCGCCTGGGGCAGTGGGCCTCCAATTATTGGCATCCATGGGGTTTTGGCCAACCAAAAAAAATCACTTCTATCACCACAAAAAAAAATAATAATTATATTGCACGTTAGAACAGACCCTAAAAAGAAAGTCAGGAACAGCAGAAGAGAAGAGCACATCAAAGTCATGAAAATTGGAATATCAGTTTATTCAGACTTGAATAGATTTAAAAAGAACTTCCATCTATTGCATGTACTTTATTAAAGAATTCTACCAAATATGGATGCATAAAATCTGAATAGCCATAACAAATATACACGACACAGCCATAACAAGTATACATGACCATTCAAGGCAAGGTGCTAGGATCTTGGGTATTCGGGTATTATAAGCAAGATTTGGGCCTGAATCTTCATGGTGCTTCCAAAACCAAGGAAGCAAAAACTAGCCAGCTAGTTCATAACTTGCCACACCAACTGATGGTGAGTGTTGGGAAACCAAGCCATAGAGAAACTCATGGTGCTTCAATTTTAACTTGATGTTTTCGAGTAACACTTGTGATACATCATCGATGCAATGTTTACAATGACAAAGTTGCATTTGTATTCATTGTGGTTTTAGAGGTTCAGAGATTCTGATCAAATAGATATTTAATGTTCCAAAAACATTGTATA